TTCCGACCCCATGTCCATCCGATCAGCCCCCCTCTGATCAAACCCAACCGGCCCCTCCCTCTTCCCTCTGATCAAACCCGACCAGCCCCTCCTCCCTCCCTTCCCCGATCAGACCAGCCCCTTGCTGCACTATGCCGGACCTCGAGTTTGGCATGGGTTCCCTCGACTCAGTCCTCGAACTGATGACAGGAAGAGTATATATCTCACAGCAATGAGATATATCACTGTTTTTTTATTCTAGTTTCCTCTAAGAAACGAGAATTTGTTGGAGATCTTACTCTTGTTGTGCAGCAGAAGTGCTGCCGAAATTTTCCCTGCGCATAACAAGGGTTTGAAGAAAAAGGTGAACAGGTGTTGGATCTGAAGCTTGATCGATGGAGGAGATCATCAAGAAGTTGAACCCTGCGGAGGTGTCAACTTTGATGAAGTTGATGAAATTGTCGGCTGATGAGAGCGCGATATGACCATCAAAGAAGTTGGAGCTTCCGACCATCGATCTAAAGCTTGATGGACCGAGTACTTTCCTGAGTTGGTCACGACAGGTCAGATACACCCTTGCAGGGAGGAACCTGGAGGGTTACTTGACCGGAGAGAAGAAAGAACCAGATGAGGACTCGGGAGGACGAGATGAGTGGAAGTCCACTCATATGTTGGTGTACATCTGGCTTCTCAACTCATTGGTCCCGACGATCGCCGCCACGGTAGATGGCATTGAGAAGGTGAAGGATGTCTGGGAGAAGTTGAGGAGGACATATGATGGGGTGGGGAATAACCTGAGGGTGTTCCAGATTAAAGGAGAGATCGATACCATAGTCCCGGGAGAGAGGACTGTACAAGAATATGCTACAGAGCTGGAGCGTCTGTGGCTGGGTTATGATCATCCCCCCCCCAGACTAGCTGCAAGGACCCGGGATGTAAAGAGCAGGAGGCCTTTCTACAGGAGATGACTATGGTGTTTCTTAAGGGATTGACATCAGAGTTCGCTCAGCAAATTGCATTACTGCTAGCCCAGCCAAAAATTCCCTCGCTTGAGAAGGCTGTCTCGGCTATGATCCAGGAGGAGACTCGTATTAGGCTACAGGCGGGGACAGGTGGACTTCCTATGGTGAAGTCAGCATTGGCAGCATCTAGCAATACTGGATCCAGGGGAGAGACTCGGCAGTGCTACAACTGCGGTAATGTGGGTCATCTAAGGCATGCTTGCACCAAACCACCCAAGGAAGGAGATTCGGATGGACGTGGACAGTTCGGAGGGTGTGGTCGTGGCCGTGGGGGTCGACGAGGTGGAAGGGGAGAAGGCAACCGGGCGAATCTGATGGTAGCAAAGGGAGGAGAAGAAGCTGAGGTGATCTTTACTGAGGAAGATCAGGCGCTCCTGGCGATACTCAGGAGGAAGCAGAAAGTAGCAGGGGATGGAGACAGGAGGAGTGGGACAGAGTAGGCATCCACATCATTCTTCGCCAGAGGCAACACTGCTACCTATGCTCATCCGACCAAAGGTACTGGTGACATACATGCTCTTGCTTCTATGTCTCCCGACAGATCATCAGAATGGATAGTTGACTCCGGTGCGTCTCGACATGTGGCAGGTAATGCTAGTGAGTTCTCATCATATACTCACCTAGCATCGCCTGATAGTATTCAAACAGCTGATGGTACATTTCAGCCAGTGGTTGGTAAGGGTACAGTCGATTGTACAGGTTCTGTAACTTTGTCCAATGTTTTGCATGCTCCTTCCTTTCCAGTCAATTTTTTATCCATTAGTGCTATCATCCTCCAACTAAAATGTATTGTTTCTTTTGATATTCCCAAGGTGATCTTCCAGGAGAAGGGGACAGGATGGAGACTTGGGACTGGCACATGGCGTAGTAGACTATGGTATCTGGATCGTGAAGGGCTGGATTCAGCATTGGTGTCAATGATAGAGAGAGCAGAAGTAGGATCTAAGATGAGTGCTGAGAGTGTGTTGATGCTTCATCACCAGCGTTTGGGACACTCATCATTTAGTGTTTTAAGTAGGTTGTATCCATCTCTATTTGAGAAAGCAAATAAGCAACACCTTGTGTGTGATGCATGTGAGTTTGGAAAACTTACTAGAAGTTATTATGTAAGTTCTGGTCATAGGAGTTCTTGTGCATTCGAACTGATACATTCAGATGTTTGGGGGCCTTGTTCTACAAGTTTTATGAATGGATACAAGTATTTTGTTACCTTTATTGATTGTTTCTCCCGTGTTACTTGGTTGTACCTGATGAAAAATAAGAGTGAAGTGTTTGGTTGCTTTCAAAATTTTCATAGGTATGCTCAGACTCAATACAGCGCTGTGGTGAAGGTATTAAGATCTGATAATGGGACGGTGTATACTAACAAAGCGTTTGGGGAATACTTGTCAGCTCAGGGAATACAACACCAGACTACGTGTCCATACACACCAGCTCAAAATAGAGTAGCAGAAAGAAAGAATAGACATCTTTTAGAGGTTGCTAGAAGTATGATGATCTCCATGAATGTCCCAGAAATATTATGGGGGTAAGCAGTGTTGACTGCGGCAGCACTAATAAACAGAATGCCCTCGAGAGTGCTTTGTGAAGGACAATAGGCCGTCCGTCAGGAAGCTTGCCCCTAGAGTAGTGAAATACATCTTTGTGGGATATTCTGCTACTCAGAAGGGCTATGTTTGCTGGAGCCCGGTGGAGAAAAGGTTGTTTGTGAGCATGGATGTGCACTTTCGAGAACTCGATCCATATTACACCCGGAAGGTAACTTCATCCGTTGGTAACTCACCTAATACTGGAAGTATGAGGCGAGATGAGGAGAATGGTGAGAGATTGGTGAATGTGGAGAAATCAATGTCTGAGAATGGTGAGAGATCAGAAAAATCAATTTCTGTAACGATTCCTTGGGAAGGAGACTTGGTTGAGGAGGAGCAGGAGAATGAAGAAGAAGAGGAGAATGAGACAAGAGGTGTTAGGCCAACGGCTCAAGGGGAACTACTTACCTATAGTAGGAAGGGGAAACAAATTGCGGGAACAGTACCTACAGTGCCACTAGTGCCAAGTCCCTTGCCAACGCCTGCCCCGACTCCTGAGACACCTACACCACCACCAGATTCCTCTCAAGGTGATTCCATTCCTCTTCCTACTCCTCCCACACCAATAACTGTACGGAGGACTACTCGCAGTAATGCGGGAAATCCTCCTGATAGATATGGTTGGGATCTTGCTCAGTTTGTATCATATTCTAACATCCACCCTGCACATGGAGTATTCATTGTATCACTGGACTCTGTTACTATACCTAACAATTGATAGGTTGTAAAGAAGGACCAGAAATGGAAAGCTGCTATGAACGAAGAGCTAGGGGCCCTTGAGAAGAACCGCACTTGGGAGTTAGTAAAACTACCAAAAGGGAAGAGAGCAGTTAGATGCAAGTGGGTCTTCACTGTGAAGCAGAATCCAGATGGACAGGTTGAGCACTACAAAGCTCGTCTGGTGGCAAAAGGATATAGTCAGATATATGGCATCGACTATGATAAGACTTTTGCACCAGTGGCGAAGATGAGCACTGTTCGGACCTTGATCTCTCTGGCAGTAAA